GCTTGGCTTTAGCATTAGCTTGAAGGAGTTTATAATCACGCTTATCAAATTCATCCTTAAGTTTAGGCACATTGATATGGTCTACTACATTGGTAGGGATTTTAGGACCTTTAGTGATAATGAGCCACAAAGCATAATTGGTAGCTTGAAGATACAAAGTCATTTTTTTTTTTTTAATGAATGTAATTACTACCATCAAAGAGAGGTGGCCTATTACTAACTTGTCCTACAGCAAAGTAAGTAGAATACATGGTTGCTATGGATCAAAAACTCAAGATTGTTAAATCTAAACAAGAGCCACAGGCTCTGATACCAATTGTTATCCAAAAAGCAACCTAAGAGGGAGGGTGAATTAGGTTTCTACAAAATAAAATTAATAATACCACAATAAAATTAACTACTAGTACAACAAATTATTAACAAGCACAATGATGAACTTAGTAGTAAATGATCAAGCAAAATAACAATGAAGTATAACTAACATACAGGGTAAATCAAATGATTAACACATAAATATTAGACAGCTATAGCAGTAGTATGAGAGTAAAAAGATTAAGGAAGAGGGGACAAACAGATTTACAGTGGTTCGGCTTCAACCAAGCCTACATCCACTCCTCAAGCTTCACTTGAGATTTTCCACTATCTTCTAGTTTCACAGGGGTGCTAGCAACCTCTTTACAAATGGAGCAATCCTCCACAGATTTTACACAGACTTCACAAGCCCAAACCCTTGCAAATCTTAGGTGATTCACAATCACTCTTAAGATTTCAAGAACACAGTGTTTGCAACACTTTTACAAAATGAAATGGTATTTTTGCTTTCAAAGAAAGCTTACAATAAATATCTCTCAAAAATAGATATATAAAATAAAACTTTAATCTTTCTGTAAATCTCACACAGAAAAGATAGGCTTAAAGTTATAATGCTTAGTATATAATTTCTGAGAAAAGATGTGAGTGATTATAGATCAAAAAATAGTTTTAGGTTTTTTTTTTTTATACTTGTTTACATTAGAGGCTTTAGTATGTATAATGAAAATTATAGCCGTTTATAGCCGTTGTATTCATTTGAATTTATAGTCGTTTATAGCCGTTGTAGTCATTTGAATTTAAGGCTTGGTTTGGGGTACACTAAAAAAGTCAAAAAGTCAAAACATCACTATCCTATTTAAGTCACATCATCTTATTTAAGTCACATCACCTCTCTACCACATCACTTCAAATCCAACCCATACCCAACCCATATTTTTTAAAAAGTCAAAAAGTGTATTTATTTAGATCATCCCAAACCACCCTTATCTTCCACTTGAACCTTTTGGCCTGCTGCTGTGCTA